CCCCCGTGCTTGAGTCTGTTCTTGAGTGTGTTATCGACCGCGCTGCCCGGCGGGCCAATGAAACAGTACATGGAACAGATCTTTTACCTCTGTTGGGGTTCGAATATCAACACCCGTGTGGTTTATTTGTAAATACCTTGCCTTTAAAGAACCGTATTTCGTGTCGGTCGCCCCTGGGTTGAGGTGCGTAGCTCACGGACTCAGTCTTCATCGTGATACTGAATCTTACTGATTCATGTTCTACATTATACAAGCTTCATGTTGTCGTGTTCTCGCACTTGTGTCAACTGCCCCTCCCCCCCCCCCCCCCCCCCCCCCCCCCCCCCCCCCCCCCCCCCCCCCCCCCCCCCCCCCCCGGGGGCGCAACAGATGTCTGCGTCAGGTGCCCGGCATCCTTCGGTCTGCTTGCACGCTGGACCCAGAGCTGACAGGAGGGAGCCTCGACAAGGTGAGACTGGCGGGCCAGGGAACCATCCCGGGATCGTTTCCGTCAATCCTACCCCCTCTCTCGACCTTTTCCCCAAGCTTTTAGGCTAGCAAAGACACAGGACTCGAGGCAAAGCTCCGGCCAGGGCAGTTTCTTTTATTTTGATTTGTTTTTGGACAATATACATCGAAGTTTTGCCTATGGCTGTTGTCGGCAAGAATCCAAATGTTGCTTTTTTTTTGGGCTGGTTGGCGTAGTTACGCCTCTCCTTCATCTCAAGCAGGATGAGCAGTCAATGTCAATCGTTACAGTGCTGTGTGTGCTTGCTGCTGTTATGGTAGAGGTTCGTGCTGGTGTGGCTTGGTTTGGTTCGGTTTTCGCTATGTTCGACTGTGCTTCCCTTGAACTCACTGTCTTAGCTTTCCAGCTGACCCGAAGACCTCGACGAGAACGCCCCCATGTCCGAAATGTTGCCAAGAGTATCATCTATTTAGCGACGGCCACTGTTAGAGCGGGCCACCCGCTTGTTCACTGATCCTTGCGCCCAAACGCCCCGCACCTGCCCCCGACCAAGCGGGCGGCTCCAATAGCACCCCCCCGTTGCAAGTGTTCTGTAAGCTGCTGAACTATAGGATAGTGGGAGCATTGGAGAAGGAACATAGCATTAGTGAGGGCCAGGCAAGTTTCCGAAAGAAGAGAGGGTGCGTAGACCACGTATTCACGGTAGGGAGAATCATCCAAGGTAGAAAGAGGGCAGGAAAGCCGACGTACTGCTTCTTCCTGGACGTGAAAAAGGCATACGACACCGTATGTAGAAATGGGCTGTGGAAACAACTGTCCCAATACGGGATCAAGGGGAAAATGTGGAGAGTGCTGAAGAAGATGACAGAGTGTACGAAAAGCGCGGTCATGTTACACGGAGAACAATCCAAATTCTTCGACATTGAGCAGGGGGTCCCACAAGGTTGCACGCTGTCCCCAACATTGTTCCAGGTGTTCATCAACGATCTGTTGGAAGTCGTAGAGGCAGTCCGGAAGGGAGTAAAAGTAGGGGACACGGAAACGTCGGTTTCAGGAATGCTGTTTGCGGATGATTTTGTCGGTATGTCGGACACCCCTGAGGGACTGCAACTGCAATTTGACGCGGCGAAACAGTTTACTGATAAGTGGAGATTGTCTGCCAACGTTGAGAACAATGCCGTCATGGTATGCAACGAGAACAAGGAACCAGCCTAACATCATAGATGGAAGTGGGGGATCGAGGAGATTGCAGTAGTGGACCAGTACACATACCTCGGAGTAGAGATCGCAAAAGACTGCTCGTGGAATGCACACATGTCCAAGGTAGCGGAAAAGGGCAAAGCACGAGCAGGGAAGCTGCACCCAATACTCGCAAACCGGCACCTCGATACACGCATCAAATTGACGGTTTTGAAGAGCGTAATCGTACCGCCGCTAGAGTACGCCGGAGAAGTATGGGAAGGAAATAAGAAGGTAGTGAAAGAACTCGAGGCGGCGCAGATGAAAGCAGCGAAAACCATCCTAGGATGCTCCAGGCGCACAAGTAATGCAGCCGTCAGGGCAGAATTGGGGATCCAATCCCTACGGTCGGGAAGAGACGCGAGGAAGCTGACATTACAGTAACGCATGTGCGGGATGGGAGAGGAGTGGTTGCCGAGAATTGTATGGGAAGCGAAGTGGGCAAACAGAGGGGTAGACAACCCACGGAATGGGT